AAGTTCAAGTGATAACGACTGTTAAAACAAGAGCAGCAAAAACTACCCGCCCGGGAGAGGGAGCGAAGACATTAACCGCCTTAAAAGGAATGAAGACACTTCAAAATTCGTTAGGAAAGAATCAATATCATTGGGATTGACATCGGTTTTGCTTTTAGGTTAAGAACGGGGTGGGTGAGTGACTGTGAAATCAAGTTGTTCATGGGGGAAGGGTGGGCGAGTAGGTTTTACAGCCGTCGTGTAACTCAAGGAACAATTATATTGACCTTGTGTTACAATGCATTCACGTAGAAAATTGTTTAAATTCTTTAGTCTTAATAGTGATAAAAATCGTTTTTCTCCTTACATTATCGGTACATTGTCAACCAGAGAGGTGACGAGAATCTAGTAATCTGGATGATCCACCACTGACGTTTTCAAGAATGCGTGGCAATCAACAAAGAGAATTATTACAGTAATTCAATCTCCAGATTGAACTTTATTCACAAAGACCACAAAACTTCCTTGTACCAAACTTTAACACACACGCGACATGCATCACGACATCTCTCCGAATGACAAGTATTACTATAATGATATCAAATTCTAACTCACCAAATTAATTTATTCCGGCCTACAATGTAGTCTTTCCCCTGTCTAAAGCTGTGAAATAACCCTTCTGTGTAATTATGTAAATGACAAGCGTTATGGACATATTAATAAATGTACACAAGACACTCGTGTGATAGTTTAAAAACTTAATGCCAACACTTATGTTATTTCTTTTCACTGGTCTCTACGCTTTTTACAGTACTGTGCTAGTAACACTACAAAAGTTCAAATGAGGTCTGAAACTGCTGTTAATTAAACTTGAAGGTTAAAATCCACGCTTTCGGGAAAACGTTTCCACGTAAGAATTATTCCGCGTATTTTTCTTATTCCTAATGATGCTGTAGATCGGCGAAAGTTTGGATTTTAATCTTCAATTCTAACAGTAGTTTCAAGCCTCATTTGAACTTAGTGTAGTTATTTTAAAATGCTACAGAAAGACTATCGAAATATTACTGTAGGAATATTTGCTGCACGACTGAAAGGCAGTCAACCAAGATGCCTTATTGCTGGTCTGATATTTTCTTAGTAGTAGAGCGGATAAAAGTTCTGATAAATCTGTTGCAACAAGCAAAGAAAAAAACATTTAAACATTATAATAATTCTTTTTTCTGTTATTATAACACAAGCTTTTGCAGGGAATAAACCTTCGAAAAATTAATTCTAAACCTTTTTCCAACAACGATACCATAATTACAATAATTAACTACATTTTTTTCTTTCATTACCGAACCCAAATTCACATTTAACCAATCATAAGTCTTGTCCACAGTGCTGACATCTTGCGATATCAAGTCACTGACCTGATATGGCCAGATTTAATTTTTGGCCAGATTTGGGT